GGGGTTCAAGTCGCAAGGTCCTCTAACTGACTTCACTTCTCTCAGTTGGAAAACTTTTGAAAATGCCTGTGACATCCGAAAAGATGAAATTTCAAAATCTATGGAGGGGAAATGGAAGACAGGTCCATTTGGAGGCTACCATCGACTCTGTTACAAGAGCTATACGTCCAAAAATCACCTTGAACGAGTAACCTCTAAACGAAGGAAACTTGAAAAGGATATTCCCTTGATAAAGACCATAAAAACCAAAGAAGACATACCTCAAACACGATCTTCTCTGCAATCTACTGACATTAAGAGTTGTTGGATATGTCAGAAAGAAAAGACGGATGCAAAAGACCGACGAAGAAAAGAAAAGTTGACAAATTGTGAGACTCAACAAGCTGGAGAAACGCTTCTTCGAGCAGCAAAGGTCCGATCTGACCAAAGAATCGTTGTAGCGTTAACTGATCAAGATGCTGTCGCTATAGAATTATGCTATCATAAGTCATGTTATCGTGGCTATACCAACCTCAAGCAATCGGATGTCAAAGAAACTGACCAGGAAGGAGAATTTGAATGTCAGTACGATGCAGCTTTCAAGMAATTGAAATCTGATGTCATTGAACCTAAACTCTTTGAACAGTTTGAAGTTTTACGTATGAGTGAACTTAGGGAAAGGTATATTGGAAAACTCCAGCTGCAGGGAATAACTAACAGCTTCTATCGATCAGAAAAGCTTAAAGCAAGAATTCAAAAAGCGTTTCCTGGTAGAGTGAGTTTCTGGCACCCTCGATATCGTTCTAAGAGTGAACTTGTATATTGTAACGACGTACCAAAAGGTCAGATTGTGGAGTCTGCTGTTGATGTTGATAACGAACAAGATATGAATGTTAAAAGAGATGGTATAACGGATGATAATTATATGTATTATGCTGCAAAGAATATTYGAGCCAGCCTTTTGGGCCACGATGCAACCATGCCATGGCCACCATATGCCATTGACGTAAGCGGTAATCGCATATCGTTGCCAGATTCTGTGTGCAACTTCCTGACCTGGATTCTAACTGATGACAATTGCCAACCACAATGTGATATAGATGAAGTTGAACTGAAGCACAATTCTGTTCAGCGATTAGTCCAGTCTTTTGGCCAGGATCTTCTTTATGCTGTTTCTAAAGGAAGGCAGAAAACACCTAAGCATGTTGCCTTATCTCTCACTGTCAAAAACCTAACGGGAAGTAAAGAGGTGATAACATTGCTCAACCGCTTTGGTCATGCGATATCCTATGATYAAGTGCTCCAAATTGAAACACGACTAGCTGAAGAGCAACTGAACACAGAAGTAAATGGTGTAATACTACCCAAGATCATCCAGCCCAACGTGTTTAGTACTTTCTGCTGGGACAATATCGACATTTTAGAAGAAACACTGTCAGGTCAAGGTACAACACATTGTACAAATGGAATCATCATACAGCGACAGGTGGCTGGTTGTGACCCACCTCCTGCAAGAGTACGAGAGGCACGAGGTCCGCGCAAACGTACATTTCAAGCTGTTTCCAACCAGGTAAGATTTTATTCAATAAACTATCAAATACAAATCATGGTTAGTATTGGACATCATTCGTATCTGCAGTTATGTAAATTGCTATGCCTTTTTAGGTCCAAGAGTACAATGCTGGAAGACGTAGTGGACCGGAGCAATACACACTAGATATTGATCTAAAAGGAAACACTGATGGCCATCACAGTGCTACCATGAAGGATATGTCTTTTTGATTGGTCTTCCTGTGTCTAAATGAGCCTTCAGTTCCAGCATGGCGTGGATTTAATGCAGTGGCACGCATGAACGAAATCCCACCGAAGAGTGTAGTTGGCTACTGTCAGCTCATTGATGCATCGCCCACAGATCTATCAACAGTATATACCTTACTCAAGAAATCCGTCGAAATGGCGGCACAACTTGGACTTCACGATACTGTCGTCGTTGTAGACCAAGCCATATATGCGAAAGCTTTAGAAGTTATATGGAAGCAGAAAGAAGAGTTCCGGAGCGTTGTGTTACGCATGGGAAGTTTTCATATCATTTGCACGTTCCTCGCTGTATTGGGAAAGCGATTTGGAGAGAGTGGCCTGCAGGATCTGCTGATCGAGTCTAGATTGGTAGGCAGTGGCTCTGTGAATGGCGTTCTCCAAGGAAAACATTATAATAGGGCACTGCGAACACATAAGGTAGGTGCTTAGTTTTTTCTGGCTGCTTGTTCTCTCTTTGTATATTCACTCGTTACAATTCTTGTTTTCAGATTGTTATGGAAGCTTTGTTGCGTCTGAATTGGCAATCGTTTGTTGACACTATGAAAGATGACCAAGAAGTAAAGTCATTCAAGCAAACTGTGACCACAGCTACGATGAGCGTCCAAAGAGAATTATCAAGCTCCACGATCCAGAGGTGAAAAAACAAATTTAGTAGTTCCACAACCCATGTTTTAATAATAGCATTTATTGTATTACATTGTATTATATCGTAGGCTGTACGAGACAACGGACCTTGAGAAGCTCCACGCAAAGTTTAAAGATTTCAACAAATCACCAGCTACTACCAAAATGGCCAAATACTGGTTTTCATACATCGAAATGGTCAGTCTTCTCTTACGCTTTATCCGCTCAATAAGAGAGGGTGATTGGAAATTGTATCTCACCTGCATCCGTGATATGATACCGTGGATGTTTGCATATGACCGGGTCAACTATTCTCGATATCTATCCGTTTACCTCCTGGATATGCAGTCATTAGAAGAAAATCATCCAGCGGTTCTGAGCGCGTTTCAAGATGGCGAGTTYGTCGTCCAAAGAAGCAGTGGAAGCCCATTCAGTCAAGTACCTGTGGACCAGACGATCGAACAGACTGTCAATCGAGACACAAAGACCAAGGGCGGCATCATAGGATTCAGTGTCAATAAGGGTGCTGTACAACGATGGCTCCTTACATCCCACGAACGCGCAGCCATCACCCAAGCTTGCCGAGAGATGGCAGGACTACAACAAACTGATGGAGATGCTGCAAAGAAGGAGATGGGTAAGAGCAGAATGACAGCCGACGAGAAAGAMGTTCAGAAAGTACTGGCGACCATCAACAACTGGGTGAACCCATTCRAACCAACAGATGAAGTAGAGCTGTATCACCTGGCATCTGGATCAACAGCGACTACACAGATTGAGAATGACCTGCTAACTGCACATCAACAAGGCGAAGAAGCCATGGAATCCTTCTTTAGGACGAGGTTGCAGACTAATGAAGTACCTTTCCATAGTCCACTAAAGAAGTTGAAGCTTGCCAACTTTTCTTCGTCAAAGTTATCTAAAGTAAAGATCGCTGGCAAGGACACCATGATCAAAGCAGACAGAGATCTTTTTGCTCGGCTTCTGGTAATCGCCCAGAGAAGATCCATGGATCTTTCTGATGTTTTTCAATACTCTATTGGTCCTCTGCCCTGGTCCCTTGCTTCCGCTGATGGCTCACTTGCCAAAACTGGCAAGTCAAAGCTGCTTGAAATTCTGAYTAAGGACATTCAGCCAGTTGAAGACGTCCCACCGACCTCGGCAATGATTATTGACGGGATGGCTATTCTTCAGTCTCTGAAACCCATTCCTGACACATTTGAAGAGCTTGCCCTTAAAGTGTTCCATCTTGCTGTCCCTCATACAAGTCTAGCAAGACGAGTAGATTTTGTAACGGACAGATATCCCGAAGTCTCTATAAAAAACCCCGAAAGAGAAAAGCGAGCAAATGAAGGCGTGGTTAAAATTAAGATCTCAGGAAGTGGTCAGAAATGTCCAAAGCAATGGAGAAAATATCTGAGCAGCGGCGAGAACAAAATYGAATTGGTGCAATTCATCTTGAAGKAATGGTCTCAAGACAGGTACAAGCGTTTGATTGGCAACCGCCACCTATTCTTTGCTGTTGAGCTGAAGTGCTTCCGCCTTTCTGTAGCTGATGATAAAGTTTTGTGTGAGGAAATCCCAACATTATGCAGCAACCACGAAGAAGCTGACACGAAGCTGCTTCTACATGCCAAGCATGCTGCAGACAGTGGAGAAAACACCGTCATAATCAAGTCGCAAGATACAGATGTGGCAATCCTTGCTTGTCATTTCAGTAACCAAATCCCTGCACGCCTTCTACTTATGAAAAAAGAGAAGACCAGAGTGGTATATCTCGATGTCTCTGCCATATCAGAAGAAGCTGGCCCTTTGCTTTGCAATGCTCTACCTGGTTTACACGCATTTACTGGCTGTGACTCCGTTAGCTCTTTCTCAGGCAAAGGAAAGAAGGCGCCACTTAAGCAATGCAGAATCAATGAAGCAGACTGTCAAACCATGTCAATGCTTGGGAGATCGTTTGAAACCGATKATGCTCTTTTTTCTCACTGTGAAAGATTTGTTTGTCACATGTATGGTTACCCAGAACTTTGCAGAGTTAATAGTTGTCGTTACCAAATGTTTGCAAGCAAACAATCACAGTCACATTGTCTACCACCTTGTCAAGATGCGTTGAAGCACCATACGATGCGGGCAAACTACCAAGCTGCTGTTTGGCGACAGGCATTAGTTGCAAATCCCAATGTCCCATCACCTGAGAACCACGGATGGATCATTCAAGAAGAAAGCCTCGCATTAAAGTGGATGTCACTCCCTCCTGCACCAGCAGCACTTCTTGATTYGATAATGTGTGGATGCACTGGAAAATGTTCAACTGGCCACTGTACTTGTCAGAGAAATGGCATATCGTGCACAGATGCATGCATGTGTGCTGATCAATGTGAGAATCCCCACAATGCATGGGAAAATCCTGATGAGGATGATGAAGAAGACAACAGCGGCCAAGATGATGATGATGACGACTAACGTTTGTCAATTAAGATGATTTAAAATCAATCATCGTTGAAACAAAACTTTTATTTTTCTCTAATTGAATTGATTCTTACCTRTTTACTACTTGAAAAGAGTACACACAAGTAGTAAACATCTATAAGAGTGTTAATTTGTTTTAAATAAAAGACTACCAGAGTCTGCAATGAGTTATTTTCCGATTTTATTYAAGAAATCTTGAAAAACGTAAACCGGAAGTAGTTTAGCTATCAACTTCCGGTTTGACGAATAGTACGGAAATTGTCTTTTCTATAGCTAATATTAAAAATATTTGTCATTTMTCTCTGAAAACTAATCAGATAAGGTCAAACTAAGGTCTTCATAA